TGTCTGGGTAGGGGGAGTGGGTTAGTTTTTTTGCTTGCATGGGTTACCTGGTGTTATCTCCTTGTTTCAAATAGACCCCTAAGAACACTATGTCTAGGGTGAACTTGATGGCAAAGTTTCTGGTGTAGGGAGTCTGTGCATGAAAAAGGCAGTTCTATCGACCCCACAGCTTCCAGGCCTTGAGCCATGATTTTTATCTCCTATAGTTTTGAACTGCCCCATCCTTACCCTTAAAAATGCAGTTCTTTGACTGCACAATCATTCCAGCACAAATAAGGATTTTTTTAGCAGTGAAATGGGCTGGAAACATGGATACATCAGTATGCCCCAAAACAGCAATTAAAACATTATGTCTGAAAAATCTGCTGCCTGTATGCTTCAGCCAGAAGAGGAGGGAAACTGGGAGGTGGGTAAAAGGAAAAAAACCTAATCTTTAATTGGTTGGGAGAGCTTGTTTCTGTCTATCACCATCCCACCTGTCTCCCAAACAGGTACTTGGCTGAGGAGGAGTTGTGGACCCACATGCACAACTGGTGAAAGCTGATTCTGAGCTTCTCTCAAAGCCTGTGGTGATTTCACGGATAGGGCAGTGGCAGTTTGGTGCAGTGAGTCCAAGTGTTTCACGGCCCACTGGCGTAGAGCATTAACCCTGCTTGACTGCAGTGGCAGCAAGAACAATTTGACCAGTCTCTGTTACTAACTCCCAGTCTTTGTTTCCATTTTAAATTGAGTAGTAGATGAGGAGAAATAGCTTAAGTATTGATATACTCCAAAGTGCCTGCTTTCCACTGAGGCCCCAGTTGACCTGATGCACTCTCCCAGTATGATGCTGGCAGCCAACAGCTGATGCTGCAGGGAATTCCCTTTTGGGCACCAGGTGAGGATCGTGCTCAGCCAGGCTCTACTGGCTCTGGGGACACATGGTCCCCTTTGCTTCTCACAGGGAGAATCATGGGGTTAATCATACAAGCATGACACGCTGCCACTGAAAGAACACTTTTAACCTTCCTCCTGAGACTGGATTTGTGAATTGATCTCCAATGGTGATGAAGGAGTTTGGAGTGCAGTGCTTGAAAGGCCAGGTTTGTTCTCCCTCCTCTGCTCTCATATTTATATGCCCTGTAGGATTAATGCTGATTCTATGTTGTTTTCATGCAATTTGATCATAGAGTAAGAGGAGCAACTGGAAGAACAGATAATTGTAACTCACAGCTAACAGTAATACCTGCTGCTATTCAGGTGAGAGAGTAGCTAAAACAGCCCAAAGAACAGCCTGAAGAGTCAGTGCAGTTTCCTCACTCATGCTGGCTCTGTGGGTAAGTTTTGTTGAAATCTGTGATTGTGAGGTAGTGCTGTCACAGTGTTAGCTTTCCTCTGTCTAAACAACTATCCCGGTCCTATAATAATAATACAGAAAAAAAGCCATCTAAAATAATGATATTTTTCCCTTAGCATGTGTGCTGTACTGGTATCTTGCTTGCAGTATTTTTCTGGGCTCTGACTGCTGAATTTGGAGATGAACAAGTGGAAAACCTCTCTACAGACAGAGACACGGTCCAAATACACGAGTGGTAAGTATGACCAATCCCAGAACGAAAAGGATGAAGCATCAGCTCTTCCTGCCAGCAGGCAGGAGGGCAATCCCAAGGACCATGCTGGTCAGCTGCAGCCCTACCTGTGAGAGAATGGGCTGCTCACAAACATGGTGCCTGTCCGAAGGGTGATAACTTCTCCTCTTCAAAAACAGTGTCTCTGTTTAACAAAGATGCTGGCCGCAAAGCAGTCACTTGCTCTGTGACTCACAGGTGGTCTTAAACTCTCTGGCAGCCCCAAGATCTGATCTGTATCAAGAATATTTCACGTGGGATTTTCCGGTTTGTGAGACTCAGTGGTAGATGTGGGGAATACACAGCCATATGGGAGCATTTCACCAGCCATGCAGCTGGCAGCCCTCTCTCATGGGGAGAACAGGCCTCTTCCATGTTTCTCTGTGCTCTGAGGTTACCAAGAGCAGTGTGGGCTGGGAGCCAGTCATGTGGAAACTATTCCAAAAACTGGAGAGCCACTGAAGGAGCAACCCCAACCAGCCTGTAACGCTGCATGCTCTGGAGATGAAGCTAAGTAAATCATCATCTGTGATTGTGCTTCTCCTGAAGTGTAGCGTATTTCAGAGGAATGGTGAAAAAGAGGGAGTGCCATATGCTGTATGTACCATCATCTTTCCTGAAGCTGGGCTACTTTGCCTTTGAATTCTCCCTGCCCTTTATTCTTTAGGGAATTGGTGCAATGTGCCCAGGAGCCAAGGCAGCAGGCCATGAGATCTGCAGCAGGGACTGCATCTTCACATTTTCATGTCAAATCTTGTGCTCTCCACAAGGATGTACAACCCAAGGGGCAAAGATGGGCCTATTCTATTTCTACAGCCATAGTTATATAAGGGCAGCCCCATGACAAGGTCCACATACAGTCCTGATCCACTGACAGTTGTGCTCTTGGCAACAGAGTACCACTTTTATAAAGCTTTGTAAATCACTCCTGCTCAGTGTAGCCCTTGAACTAGCACAGAATATATTCTCACAGCAAGACCAGACTCTGGGCAAAATTCTTACATTCTGTTGCTAGAAGATATATTTATGTAAAAGAAACAGCTTCATTTTCTGCTCTCTCATTGCAGTAAGGAACTGGAGTATGTGAAGAAAGCTTTCCTTTATCTATTCAGTTGCAGAGATTCACAGTAAAAGCTACCGATGGTGAACCTGGGGTCCCTGGCTCTGCTACACCTGTCTGCACGCACAGAGTCCCGGCCCTGCACTGGCAAACCCTTGCAGTCGTGCATTTCTACATGTTTGTCTCTACCAATCCAACGAAGCTGAAAGGGGCCTTGAGGGACTGCTAAAAATGTTACCTAAACCACCCCAAACTTCTGCTGACTCCTCTGAAGGGACCTGCCCATAGAATTAGTCACCAAGTTACTGAACCAGAGGAAAATCCTAGCTCACATGCACTGCTGAAAGAGCAAGGGGAGGCAGGAAAAAACAACCCGTAGTGTCACCATTTGCTATTCTACTAGCTGATACCTGTTCACCTTCAATTTTACGCTCCCCTATTCCCCTCTGTGTGTTCCAGGCTGTGCTAACCCCTACATTCATTTTTCAGTGGCAATTGCTTGGTAACACTTGTGCTTGGTACTTGTGCTTGGTAACAGAACACTGACATTTAATTCCTTTAATTCAGAAATGTGCTGTATAAACTGGTAACTGTTTGCATGTGTGGCTTTTAATTTTCTTTATGCAGCCAGTAAACATATCATAGCCTCAATATGATCGCTACTCTTGGTCGTGGTGACTGGCTGTGAAGAAAGGCATCTGCTTCCTAGGTCCCAAAATTGGATGCTGTATATAATAACGTTGTTGAAGTGGTAACACTTTATTATTAGTGCCTCTGTTAGTTCACTCAATAGTTTATAAAGTGCTCACGACTTATAGACAGAAAAGTAATTGATTTGGCTTGGTTTATCTACAGGGGTCCAGGCAATATTTTATCATTTCACTTCTAAAGTTGTTTTTGAACTTTGGTCATTTATGTAAGTAGTTTCCGAGTAAAATCTCTGCTGGTTCTAATGCTTTTTTGTTTCCCAACTCTGACTGCTACCCTCATTTCACTGAAGTCTTACAACTTAAATACGTGCATGTTTTTTTAAACAATTCTAACTTCTGTATTTGAGGAATATGATTGATGGTGCCTTGCTGCACAGTTGTAGAGGGTGTATTCCCTTACACACCACACTCCCCACCCCACCCCCAGTTCTTTTCAAGTGGTTTGTTAGTGACCCGGGAAATATGATTTTCTATTTCAAAAAAGATTTTCAGAATTTGGCTGCAAACCAGAAGCAGAACCATGCTGCACCATACCACACCACACCAGTGGAACAAATACTAAGAAAGGCTGAACATTTCACAAAAGGAAAACTACCAGAAACAGTCTGAGGTTTTAACTTTCTCCAGAAGCCTCTGGCTTACTTAGTATCAAAATTCCCAGCAAAACAGACTTAATTTTTGCAATGCTTTTTGTTTTAGATAGAGTCATGCATTCTGCCAACACATGACTGCTGGATGAGCAGCCTTGCAAGACAGACTCTGCAGTAACAGATGCAGCACTGAGGGCTGGAACTAACATGAAGCATAGAAGGACTGACCAAAATTACAGAGAGCATCAACATGAATGAATTTTGAGAGCCCTGCATCTGAGCAACAGATGGACAAGTTGGAGTCCCTCAGGAATGACCTGTGAAAACGAGATCCTCTGGAATCACCACTGGTCTTGGTACCAGTTTGGACAGACACCACAGTAGCAGATCCACAGTTTGCACTTAAAATACGTGTAGAGACTCCATAAGGTGAGGTTTATGAGAAGCCCATATTGGTTGGACAAATAAGATACCACCTGCCCCAACACACCTCATTTGTTGATGTTCATACACCATAAAACCAAGTGCTAGAAGAGTACGTGGTTTTGTATTTTGAGTATCTTACCACATTTGCCTCATTTCTGATGAACCAGAACAGGCAGCGGTCGGTGAGAGCCTGGTAGCCATATATTTGCTTAGAGGTTTTAGTTTTATCTCTAGAATGAGATGGTCCTTATCAGACACAACCGAGTGTGGAAGTGGAGCTTCTGGAAGCACACGCATGTGCAGCCTCCTCGCTCTGTCACCGGAGGGATCTAACCCTATACCAAACCTTCCCTATTTTAGCCAAACTCATCGAGTTAGAAAACCCTTAAAGCAGCGTTTTCCAAAGAAGAGGGCTGAGCCGCGCATGGGAAGGCAGACAGAGCCCAGGAAAAGCTGACTGAGGATGTGTGCTAATAAGAAAACGGTCCTGGGTAGATGGGGTGGTGATTGAGCCTTCTTGAGAGGGAAGAGACGAGGAAAAACCACTGGAAAAACGTCGGCACAGAGGGATTAAATGGGGAAAAGTCACGGCTACAGGAGAACGCACCTGCGGGCCGGGGGGGGGCGGGAGCGCGGCTGCCCAGCCGGGCCCTCGCAGCGCCTCCAAGTCCTCATGTCTGTGCCGAGTTCGCTGCCGCTGCCCGGCGCCTCAGGCCGGGCTGCCTATGGCCGCCGGCCAGGGGAGCCTCCAGGGCCTCTCGGCAGCTCCTCAGCCCCACCTCGGCGCCCGCTCCATCCGTCCTTCCCTCCCGCGGCCGTACTGTGGGGACGGGCCATGGCGCCCCTCGGCCGGCAGGGGCCGCCGTGCCGCCGCCCGCGGAGCGCGGCCCGAGGCGGGGCCGGGCAGGCCTCGCTCCGCCTGCCCGGGGAAAGCCGGCTCCGTCCGCCCCACGGGTTCGGATCAGTTTGTTGTGCATCTCCTCACAAGGCGGTGAGAGAGTGCCCGGAAGGTGTTACCGGTGCTGCCGGCTGCCACTGCCTTTCCAAAGGATACTCCTCCCACCCCAGCTCATGGCTGCGGGCACTGGGCTCACCCCAGTCCGGCGGGGTTGCAGAGGAGTCCCACAGCCCGGCACTGGCCGCCGTGTTCCCCTGGCGCTCCACCATGAAGGGCCATTGCCCCGCTGCACAGGCTCCCTCACCTTTTGGCGAGGCTGCCTTTAGCAGCCGCATTTCCCCCCCTGACATCCCACCGGGGTTTCAGGCCTGTCCTGACCCCTCTCCCTGTGCAGGCAACGGTGATCCCAGCCTGGGAACAGGAGCTGTGGTTGGAATGAACCACAATCCTCCATCCAGAAGCACATGGAAAGGGAAAAACTACTTTGGCCATGAGAACTGAAGTGGTCCCTTGGGGACCATGGCCTAGGGCACAGAGGAGAGCGAGAGGACTGACTCCCTGCTGATGCTGGCACTTCAGCAGGGGCAGTTTTGAGGCTGAACATTTTCACTGACAGCTGAGTATCTGGTAGCCTGTCTAAGCAAGCCTGAGTGCTGAGGTCCTGTTTCACGTGGCAGCTCTGGGAATGACTTCCTGGCAGACACGAGGGTTTTTCACATTCCCTGCTCCGGAATAAGTGTGGGGCCACCTTTTCCCTCTCCCTTAGGACCCAGTAGTTTGGGCCAGCCTGGCTGCAGTTGTGCACGGAGCACATGTCAAATGCCAAGTGCCAGGGAGTTTGTGATGGCTGCGTGTCAGTGGGTATGGGTAAGGTAGATCTACACCGCCCTCCTCCAGCCCCATCAGCACACACACGTCTAGTGGCTCTTTCTTCCCTACTCCACCAAAGTAATTGGCACGTTGACTAGAGAAGTGGCTCGCAGCTGGCACGAATCAGCCGCAGCTTGCTGGCGCCAGCCGCTTCACTTTGAATTCGCTCGCTTGCTGTCGCCTCTTCCTTCCCCCCTTTCTTCCCAGAGCCACACAAAGAGCTGGCAGGGCCACTCGCCAAGTCGGCGGGCACTGCTCACCTTGCCAAGCAGGGCCCTCTTCGTGCCCCCTCCCTGCCGCCCCCCCAGCTGTTTCATCCCCACTACCATTGTGTTCACTTGCCTTTGAAATTGGCAGGAGACATCAACCGTGCTCAGATGATGAAAAGAGAGGAGAAGCACCTGCTCCTGTTTGGAGCTTGGGTTTAAAGAAGTGCTTGGGCTGAATACATACACCCTTATTTGTGTGCTTGGGGGCAGAAGAGCTGGAGAGGGACTTTATTCTGCTGCTGAAATATTCAGCCAGGTCACAGTGCGGCAGTTTGCAGAGAAACCACCTCTTCCACCCCCTCAACCCTCCTCCACAACTAATTTTTTAAATCACTTTATGTGCTGAATACTGAAGTGTTTTTTACCTTGCAACAGGAACACTGTTTGGACAGGCTGAATGGACTAACCAACAGCAGTCTTCTTGCCCCTTTACACAGTGACAGTGTGTGTTGTCACCTTCATACATCATGTCTTTTGAAAGCATTTTGGTACCACACAATTTCAACTTGTAAGACACATTTGAATGCCCAGGAGGAGACAGACAGTCTCTAACATCAAGTGAGAAGTGAAGGACATTTTTCCAGGGCATAGGAACTAACAGAGTGAGGGTGATGGAGTCATGGAGTATTGTGGGCAGTTTGCTCACTTCCAAAGCATAGATCCAAATGGATGACCAAAACCAGCTTGGATTTTCTTCTCTCGCTTGCTATGACTTTTTCATGGGGTTTATTACTTTATATGTAGAAAGGGGAGGGAGGTGGGTCTAGCACATTTTCCCTGAAGCAAAGTACTGGTTATGAGCCCTGTACACCCCAAACCAGGCAGCAGCCCAGGGCTGCCCATACACAGAGAGTTGGTAACAACACGAGGTGCCGCCTGGTGTCCCACAAACATAGCAGTGGGTCTGACAGCAGTACTGATGTGTTCACCTGGCAGTTCATTCAGCCACTGCACCTGAGCTAATAAGCTCTGGATTTGTTAGCTTGGGCACAGCATTGCACTGACATCAGGGTACCTGCACTGGTTCCCAGCCCACCAACTGGGATGCCTCTGGGCTGTTTTCCCTGATTCTGGTGCTGGGTAAGCACAGGCAATTTGAAAGCCAGGAGCTACGTCATTCGAAGTCCCCCTTTCTCACTTTCTGTAGCACTTACTAAAGTGCCCTACTGAAGCCCTCGTAGATCCTCAGCCTTTGCTCCTGCCTCCATCTCAAGAGGAGATGGCCAGGAACGGACAAAATAAGGGAAGGCATGGAAGCAGCTATAAATGGCTTTGTCACTGTGACCATTGCAGTGCCCTGCCTGCCCACTCTTCCTTTTATCCATATTCAGCCATCAGATTGCAGAGCATCTTGCACCTGAATCTACTTCATGGCTCCACACAGGGGCTAAGGTGAGGTTTGGGGAAGCAATCACCACGACTCAGATCTATAGTCAGCAGAGCTCTACTTGTTTCAGCTGCTGGATTCCATGATGAAAGTCACCTCATTCAAAAGGAGGCAGGCATATCATCAAGTGGATTGTATCCAAAAGGTTTTTCCCTCACCCCACTGACTGTAAAGTAGCCCGGGGTGTATGGCTGCACTATCCAGTGAGGAGAGAGGAATCTCACCATTGGAATCTAGAAGCATTTAAGTTTTCTCTGTAACCCAGGGCTTTGCACAGCATGTCTGCCCTGAACCCTTACCATTGCATTGGGACTCCTCAGATTCCTGCCTAGAGCTGTGCAGGAGCTCAGGGTCCTCCTCCCCTCTCTGAGGGACCCCAAGGCACAGGGGTCTCTGCACAAGACACACCACACCTGGCTGCAATTGGGCTGGCAGAGGCAGCACAAGCTTGTATTTGCCCCATAACACTGTAATTGGAAATGTGGAGAGACTTGGGGTTGATGTCTGGCCTGAGGGGCTACAGAGTCCTTACCTTCCAGATCATCTCCCTGATCATCTGATGTCAGTCTGCAGGGGCAGGGGGAGAGCAGAGGGGGAAGCTGGGCAAACGACTACTGTGTCATCTACCAGGCACTTCAGTGCTGGGTATTGAGGTTCTGGAGGTCACATAACATCAGCCGCTCCATGGAGCTGGCCCTGCTTGCCCGGGTATCAGGCAGCTGGGTGCCACGAATGCTGCATGGATTGAGTCTGACTTAGTAAATACGGTTTGTGGAATTGTGTGCACTCTAGTGAAACCTAAGCCGTTTCCTGCTAAAGAGCCTTTTTTCAAAAAGCTGGATCAGTGAAGTTAGGAACACTCACATCAGCAGACATGATGCCTCAGTCATTGAGCAGGAAAAAGCCCTGAGGAACTGAAAAGTGCAATGATGAAAGGCCACAAACAGCTGCTGAAAGTGCTCATGAACCACGAGTAACTTAACATAAAGAACTGAAACAGAAATAAAGCCTGGTTTGATTAAATGGTTGGATTCAGGAAAGCAAGTCACATCCTGGAAAGCAGCTTATGTAGGTGTGTGATGATTCAGGCTATTTCTGGAGAGGGAAAATATGCAACACCTTGCTGCCTAAAGCACAGGCCACCCCACTCCCAAGTAAGGCCACAGACTTCCACTGACCCTTGTCATCACTCCTTCAGTCCCTGTCCTCTCAGGGAGTATTAATATTCCTCTGCCTATTCTTTACCTCCAAAACTAAAATACACATGCACACACACACACACACACACACATGTAACAATTCCCACATTGCTAAAATTCATTCACCTACCCAAAAGCAATTTCAAAGGTGAAATTCAAAGGTGATGAACCTTTCCACTCTAGATCAGATCATGCCCAGATCTCCATTCTTAAGGGTAACACAGTGGCCAAAATCCCTGATGGAAACTATAAGCATTTGGCATCTGAAAGAACACGTCCATTTTTGTGTCTAACCTCAAATACCTGATTATCTTCCCTGAGAACCCAAGGGAACTTTGCAAGTCACCTTAGGAGATGGTCCTGTGACCACGTGGGTCAGCTGGGGACTGCTACTGATCTTGCCCATATAATCAGGTAGGCTGGAAAAACAAAAACCATTTGCTAACTCAGTTTGTCACTACTACTTGTGAGAGATGAAATCCTGTGGCCTGAGTGATTTCTTTGCAAAATGGCGGGCAGAAAGCCTGGCTACACATCCTGGTTCATATCTGCTTTCTCTGTAATTTGGCCCAAGCAATCAAAAGCAAATGAGGGAGGATGTAGCAATAATATGGGGGAAGCTGAGAGGTTGAAAATATGAGCAGGAAACAACGAAATTAGACTGTGCTTGAGAAAACCAAAGTTAATACATTTGGGGGGAATAGTCTGAGAAACTACTGGTTAATAGGACAGAGAAACCTGGAAAGTAGGCACATGAGTTAGCAGCCACTGCTACATGGTGGGCCAGGACAAGCCCATGTGATTTGGGGCTGTCCACTGAGGTACCACATCACAGAGTGGGGTGTGCTGGGGCTGCAGCAGGGCTGTTGCAATCACTCCTGTGCACCTCAGCCCAGGGGTGATGTAGACAGGCTGGAGGCTTTCAGAGAGCACCACCACAGATGAGAGGTGGGAGGGAACAGCTGGATGAGGAAAGCCTGAAAGAATTCAGCATAAACAACTTTTCCAAATGATGACTAAAGGAGGAGGATATGATAACCCTCTGTAAGTATTTGAAGGCTATAAACACCAAGGGTGGCTCATGTGGGATAAGAGTACATGTAACGGGATAAATGCATGGGCAGTAAAAATATGTTTTATGCGAAGACACAGGTACAAAGTAACAGAAGGTGGTAGAGTTTCCCAAACTAGGGGTGGAAGTCCAATCGTTAAACTGCTCCAGGTGGGAGAAGAAAACAAGGCCACGTGCTATTGGAGCAGTCCAGCAAAGGAGAAGTAGATAAGGTAGGTCCTTTACCTTCAGGTCTTTTGCTGTGAGACTTGCTGTTCCATGG